AGGTACTGTTCTAATCAGTGTGCGCATACTAGCTCACTTAAGTTCCACAACAGCTTTGTGAGGTGGGTGTTACCCGCGTTTTCTAAGGGGGGAAACCAAGGCCCAGAGAGGTTAAATTACTTGCCTGTGGTTACAGCTAGTAAATGAAATTGGATTTGAACCCAGCCACTCAGGTTACAGAGTCCAAGCTCTTATGGGTGGTCTGCAGCTCTCTCCCCCTCGCATTGCCCCCAGATCAAAATGGACTCGCAGATGACAAAGCAGGCGCTGAACGAGATCGAGACGCGGCACAACGAGATCATCAAACTGGAAACCAGCATCCGTGAGCTGCACGACATGTTTGTAGACATGGCCATGCTCGTGGAAAGCCAGGTACTGGCTCAGCCGCGCCACCCTGGGAGCCTCCTCAGGCTCTCCCAGTTCCCAGGGCCCCTCTTCCAGCCCAGGCCCTACCCCCATGGGCCGTCTCTTCTGTCTGCAGGGTGAGATGATTGACCGTATTGAGTACAACGTGGAACATTCTGTGGACTATGTGGAGCGAGCTGTGTCGGACACCAAGAAAGCTGTGAAATATCAGAGCAAGGCCCGGAGGGTGAGCCAGGGTGGGCAGCCCGGTGGGGGCTGGTGGGCTGGGAGCCGAGTGGGTGGGGCTGGGCCTGGGCTCAGGTGAATGATGAAATCAGGTGAGAGGCTTTATCTCTGGCTCTGACCTCTTCCTATTTCTGTTTTCTCTCCCCTTTTCTTCCTCACACCCTCCTCCCCTATCTTTTCTCCCCATCTGTCTGTGTGTGTCTCTCTCTAACTCCCTGGCGCTCTCCTCTTTCTTCCCCCTCCCCTTTCCGGCCTGCAGAAGAAAATCATGATCATCATTTGCTGTGTGGTGCTGGGGGTGGTCTTGGCGTCGTCCATTGGGGGGACGCTGGGCTTGTAGACCACACGCCCCCATTTCTCCCAGACCCCTCCCCCACCACATTGGGAGCAATACCCCCACCGTCCCTTTCACTCCATCCACTGCTCCAGGCTCACCCCCAAGACAGCCCCAGACACCCCCACCCCTTCGTCCACCCTCACGTCAGACCCTGGAGTTCCTGGTCCTCACCCTGACATGGGCCACTCCCCCTTCCCCCCGCACGTAGATAGCAGCAGGCGTGATTACACATGCACACCGACATGCATGCTGCCGGCACATGCTTGAGACGTGTGGACACCCCAGCGTGTGCGTGTACATGTGTAGCTGTGTGTAGATGCACCAAAGTGTCCCTCCTGCCCCCTCTTAAGTCTGCGTGTGGCCTGATCTCCCCCTTCACCTGGGGTGTTGTGTAGACTGTGGTCGAGTATAACACAGCAGCCCACCGAGTCCCACTCTGCCTTCTGTGTGTGTGTGTGTGTGTGTGTGTGTGTGTGTGTGTGTGTGCACAGATCCATGGACACAGCATTTGTGTACGTGGAGTTTTGTGTTTGAGTGTTTGACTCTAATGCAACAGCACTTCCCCCACTGGCACCCCCAACCTGTGTCTGCTACAAATGGGGCAGGTGATGTGTGCAGAGGCTCACATGCACATTCCTAGAGGATCCAGTTCACCCAAATGCACACGGGCCATGGTGGATACCCAGCGTGATGTGGAGCAGACCCTGGGGAGAGAGAGCATGTGTATGTGTGTGTGTGTGTGTGTGTGTGTGTGTGTGTGTGTGTGTCTGTTGTGAGCTTGTGGAGTTCAGCCCAGGAGGGTGGACGCATACACGTGTAACTAACCTAGCTCAGCCTGTATATATGTGCGTTTCCCTCAACAGGTGGCAGAGACTGATGTGATTGACGTGTCTCAGGAGGTGCCTGAACTGTTGATAGGTCTTCTTTGCTCCACAGTGTGTACTGGACACCTGTTTTGGGTGGGCACAGAAATCTATATTTCTGTGCTATCTAGAATTCAGCAGTGTGAACGTGTGTGTGTGTGTGTGTGTGTGCGTGTGTGTGGTGTGGGCTTTCTAAATAGTGTGTTTCTGCCCCCCTGTGTACTCTGCATACACACACGTTTATGTTGAAGGATCTGTAACCCAGCCAGGTTTGTATATTTATATTTGTTTGCCCCTCCCCAAGAGCTACTTGCCAGTATGTGGTGATGAGTGTACACACTGATCCATCAATGTTGGGTAAGCGGGCTCCTTGCCCTGCAGGGCCTCAGGGGCTCTTGCACACATGCCTAGGTCCTTTATCTTCTTTGTGTCTCTGCCCGTGCGGAGGCTGGCGCTGTGAAAGCTGGTATACCTCAGTGCACTCACACATGCCAAGGCTGAGGAGGACCTGTGAAGGTGGCCACACCCAGGAACCCACATATATGCTGGAGCCCGTGAGTATGCAGCTGTTGGCATGATGACTGTACAGGCCCGCACCCATGCACACACAAATGCCTCCTGGAGCTGCTTTTTGTGGAAATGTCACTGAGGAGGTGAGGTGTGGAGGGCTGCCCCACGCAGATCGAAAATCAGAGCACAGTCCCTTCCTGCCTGTGCCACCTCCCACACACTTACCTGGGAGAGGCCACTGTTTGTCCCCACTGCTCCAGTCTCACCCCTTGGGCTCCATCTCAGGGACCTTGGGTTTGCAGAACTGTTTATTTCAGACATGCTGGAGTGGCCAGTGTGGCAGCCACACAGGGTGGGCTAGGACCCATCCCATGGACACCTCTCCTGCTGAAATGTCAGTAATAGACGCTCCCCCTACCAGGGTGAGATTGACGGTGGGACTCAGGCCTGGGTTTCTGATGGTGAGGAAAGGGCTAGCTCCTACCTCATTGTGTTGCGACATACGCACGTGCTTACACATTCTTTGGCCAACCAGGTGGGTTTGTGTTTTTGGTGGCAGGTAGGAGTATTCAGGGCAGAGGACAATGTTAGAAGCCCTCCACTCCATGCCTAGGAACATGGACTCACGGGTTGAACACAAGTACGTGAACGTGCCGTGCCCTGGGGTGGGGTATACACATGCACAAGGTGAGGGACTCAGGTGTGTGTATGGATTTTCCAGGGTCCCATATCATGGGGAAAGCCTGTGTGTATGTTGTATGAGTGTGAGTGAATGGATGGATTTGTAATTTCCCAGAACATGATGGTGCGCCTCCCCACCCTCACCCTGGCTCAGACAGACCACCTCTTCCCTATCCCTCCCCACTCTGGCCTGCGTGAGTGTCTGTGTGGTCACATGTGCAACCCCCCAGGTCAGCTGTCCTGAGGAGGCCGGTCGGCCCATCCGCTCCCAGAATGCCCTTCTGAAGACAGGAAGTTTGCCCTGTCGTCTGACTGCCAGTCCTCCTGCTCCTATCTTAGGCTGCTTTGGGGATATCAGAGCAGGCCCCAGCACCCCCACCCCCATCCCCATCCCCACCTTCTTCCTTGGGGCCGCAAGAGAAGGGCGGAGCTGTGGCGAGAGTAATGCTACTGCCTCCTTGAGTAGTATTAGGCCCACAGCTGGCCACCTCTGGGCCCAGTTGGACCAGGGGACGCTGAGGGTCTGCTGTGCCCTAACATTCTACAAGTCCTACACATCATATGATGTGTTTGCTTGTTGGCTGCTGTGTGTGTCCTGGAATATTGTCTGGGGGCTGATGTCTCTTGCATGTTCTTGGACAAGTGTGTGCTGTCCACCCTCCGTGCACCTACAACCAGCAAGCCCATGTGTGCCCTGTGGGTGGTCCCAGCCTGGCCAGAGCTCTATGCTCCCCTCTTCCCTTCGTCCCAGCCCTGCCTCTCCCAAAGCACACTACGTGTCCATCCTGTGTACCCATGGGTTGATGCACGCTCTTGCCACGCCTTGAGCGTGTACGTATGATGTGTTCTGTGCATTCACCCTGCCTCCTTCCAGCCCACCCCACAGAGGACAAGATGGGCAGCACCCGCTCCTTTCTCCCCTGCCCACCCCTCATCTGCTATGCAGCTGTGTGCGTTGGCGTGTGTTTCTGTGTTGCTGGTGTGTCACGTGATGTAGCCGTGTTTGCTGACATGAGCCCCTGCCCCCTTCTCCGTTTCTCCGTTGGTTTCTAGAGCTGTCTCCCTCCCTTCTCTGGAAGGGACAGGACTCCTGGGGCCTGGCTGGGGGCCCAGGGCCAGGCCACCCCCCCTCCTGTTAGCCCCCAGAGCCCCATTTCTCTTTATTGGTGACCAAGTTGCAAACGGATAAAACACAGGAAAATTCTGCCTTTCCCCCCCAGCCCTGCATGTCCTGTCCCCGGAGCCCCTTACCCCCACCCTGGGCCAGGTTGGGCCCCGTGGGATGGGAGAAATAGCAACCAATTCAACAGCGGGTTTGCTGTGTGCTCACATCCTTCTGTCCCCACCTGGGACGGGGCGCCGTGGGGAAAGGTGGGCGTCGTGGTGGATGAGAGGGGGAGCTGGGCAGGCAGATGGACACTGGCTTAGAAAAGGAGTTTTAATCCAGAGCTTGACCAGGTACAGCATTAATGGGGCATCTACAGGCAGAGATCTAACACTATTAGGAACTGAATCTGGGTGGCAAGGCGGGAAGAAATGAAGATGCACTGATTTCCTCAGCTTTCATTGAGGGCAATTAAAAGATAACTGTGTAAAGGCGATAGATACATCGTCAAAAATAATGAGAATATGACCCCCACCCTCCCCAGGAGGGACGAAGGTGGTGAGAAGAACCAGAGATGTAGCCTCGCTCTGAATCCAGGCCTGAGGATCACGCTGGATGCCAGGAGGCCAGCGTGAGGCCTGTGGAACCCCTGCCCACTTCCCACATGAAAAGCCAGAAGTGGGCCAGGGCAGTTGAGAACTCCAGGAGAGTCAGACTCTCGCCAACCAGCGGCTAGGCCCAGGTGGGAAGTGAAGACGCCCTGCCCTAGGACTTGGAGACATCCGGACACAGTCTCAACTCTCAAAGCTCCTAGATTGAAAAGGTAGAGAGCTCTAGGACAGCCACTCCCACTCTAGACCCCGGCCTCCAGCTCTACAATGTAACCCTCCCTTCTCATCTAGGGTTTGGAGGCCTAGGACCTGGACGGATGGGCCATGCTAGGTCTCCAGGCTCCAGCCCCGCCATCACTGGGTGAACCCTCCATGGCCTGCACCCAGCGAATGGTACGGTTCCGGCTGTCCTCCCATGAGAACAGGGGCTCATAACCAAAATGGCGCTGAGCTTTGTTGGTACTCACGGTGAAGGTGGTGTTGGCCATGGCCAGTGTATAGGGGTTGAGCAGGGGCGCATAGAGCAGCAGTGGCCTCAGCAGCCACTGCAGCAGGGCATTGAGGGCAGCCAGGATCACCAGCAGCCAGTAAGGCACCAGCGGGCGAGTGCCCACCAGCCGCAGTCCGCAGGGGCCCAGGAACTCCATGTTGAAGTCCTCATAGCTCTTGTAGGGTGATTTGTCATAGCAGAAGTACACCTGGCCGCCCATTAATTTCTCCCGTTGCTCCAGCTCCTGGGCCACCAGCACATGCATCCAAGCCACGTTGCCTGCCAGTGGGAGGAGGGGGACATGCCCCTCAGTGCCCTTGGAACCATGCAGACACTGCTTTCTCCTGGGCCAGCCCATGTGCATGCCATCCCCACTTCAAGCCCATATAGATGCTGCCCACATAGCTACAAGCTCTGGTAAAGACTGCCATTTCCCAGGCCCCTGTAGCCACTTGCTCTCTTGGGCCAGCCTGTATGGATGCTACCCCTTCTTCTGGGCCTGTGTAGATGCTGCTTCTCTCCTTTCCTGGGGAGATGTGGCCTCCATGACTGCAATTTTCTCTTCAGCCTGTGATACACTTCTTACGTCAGCCTTCCCAAGTTGCATAACCATGTTTCCTCATGGTCTCTACACTGGCCCATGTATAGAGCATCCATTTTCAGCCAGTGCATACACTGCCCCTCCCACATGGTCCTGTCCACACCCAGATCCTCCTGTCCTGTTCCTAGCCTCCCCCACTAGTCCAGGCCTCACCCACATAGACTCGACCGTGCTCCACAGAGGCTGGGATGGCCCGGAAGAGCCGACACCCCAGGCGCAGGCCCTGGCGGTAGAAATCCCTCATGATCTGGTGACCTTCACCGTAGATGCCCGTGGGGCGCAGGGCACATGTCACTAGGGGCAGTCCCCCACGAACCTGGTGGCAAAAGGCAGGTACTGCTGAGACCTAGGACCTAGTGGTTCACTTCTGCCCTGGCGTCCTCAGGCTGGAGACAGGAGGAGCCCAGGGCAAGATGCAAGGGAGCCTGAGTGGGCCCCAGCTCTGCCTCTGACTGGCTGTGAGAATTCTGGGCAGCCCCCATCACCCCTCATCTCTGTGCTTCATTTTCTCCAGTCTCACCTTCCTTCCATTGGCCTCCAGGACCAGCTGCTCCGCCAGGGCCTTGCTGCGAGGATAGGGATGCGAGTGTACTGCTTCATACGGGGTGTCCTCGTTGCCCCTAGTGGGGGAGGAGGGAAGACTCTTAATGTTGAGGGGAGATGGAGCTCTTAAAGTATGGGGGGACCTCAACTCACCTGTAAAAGGGATGGCCCTTGATGTTGGGCCCTACGACTTCCATGCTGCTTGTATAGACCAAGAACCGTGTTCCAGTCTGCACACAAGCCTCAATCACGTTCTTCGTCCCTGGGGTGGGGAAGGAGTATAGCCAAGCCGAGCCTCCCTCCTTCTCTGCGTCTTCCTCCTCCCCACCCCAAATCTAGATGAGAGCTCACGGTTCCTTCCCCAGGTCCAGAGAAAACCACAGCAGGTTGGGTGAGGGCAGGGTCTGCTATTACATGGGGCAGGGCTATCATACACACAGGACAGACTGCCACAGGGGAATCACAAGGCCAAAGAAGGGGTGGCGAGCAAACAGCCAGGATCAGGCCATGTGCCAGGGAGTGTTAAGCACGTTAGAAGAGGTAGAAAACAGGCAGGGCCCCTCACCTTGCACGTTGACCTCGTGGATGGTCTTGGGACTGGACCTCCCAAACACGTCCACCAACCCAGCTGTGTGGATGACCACATGGGCTCCAGCCACAGCTGCTGCCACTTCATGGGCCTGGGTCACATCCCCTTGGATGGCAGTCACCTGCACAGGCCCTGGTAGGGGGTGGGGGAGGCCAGAGGCCCCGTCAGAGCTGGGCTGTAGACCAGCTGCTGGGTTCAGCATACACCCTTGTGAGCCACTTGTTCCACTGTGACTCATTCATCCTATCCATGTGGACTGGAACATAAACAGGCATCACCTTTTCCACCACAGGGATAGGGATCCCGGCTTAGGAGTCCACAACCCCTCCCCTACTCCCTCCACGCCACACTCACCTGTCTTCAGCTCCTCCAGCCAGGGACTCAGATGTAGGTCAAAGACCCGTAGCTCACGGAGGCGGGGCTCCTGCTGCTGCAGCAGCATCCGTACCACATGCTCCCCCAGGAAGCCACAGCCACCTGTGACCAGGTACACCTGCTTCTGGGCCTGTGCAGTGCCTGCCATGCTGGGCTGGGGGAAGAGGCCCTGGCTTACCTGGGTTGGTGTGGCTGTTTCAGGACCTACCACTTCTGGAAGGGGGCCTGCTGGCCTGGTGGATGGGAGCACAGTGACCCGGAGCCAGAGCTGTGCCTGGAGGCCACAACAGCCAGGCCAGTGACTCTGACCTTGCCAATTATTTACTGAGAGGGAGGAGAAGGCCTTTGGGTGCAAGAAGGGGTCAAAGGTTGGGGTGGATGGGTGGAGAGGCTCTGGGGCAAAAACGGAGGGTGGGGAGGCAGGAAGCTGGGAAAGGCAGGAAGGGAAGGTATAGGAAGGTGGGAAAGGCTGGATGAGGGGAAGGGACGCCTGGGCCCTGGTGCCACCTCTGCCTACCTGCAGCCACTGCGCCACGGTGCCCAAACTGGTCACTGGAAGGGCTGTCTCGTCGCTGTTGCCTGGGCCCGTCGGCCAGTGACACACCTTCCCCCTTCCGCTTGCTCCTCCTCCTCCCTCCTGGCCCATTCCAGGAACAGAGACCAGCCTCCACCTCTCCACAGCCCATGCTGTCGCCATAGGGCACCCCCTAGTGGTTACCGAGCCATTTTGCGATCCACTGGCAACCTATTCCAGCAAAGAATTTTGGGAAGGGGAATGGGAGAACCAGAATCAGCTGAGGTTTGGGGGCTGCAGGATGGAGCCGACAGGGTGATCTCATTCCCACTGCATGACCTCAGTTCTTCCCTCCTGCTGGATTTCCCAGGAGGCCAGAGGCCCAGCAGCAGCTGTGGTTCTGGGAAGAGAAGGAGGCCTGACCTTGGCCTGGCTCTGGCTGGCCTTGGTGGGGGATTTCTGGCATGGCTACTGAAGCCTATCAGGTGGCCCAGAGCACTGGTGGCTGGGTCTGAAGGTCTGGACTCTTGCCCAAAAGGTCCTCTACCCACCCCAAACTTCAGGCCACCCATTTTCCTCTTCAGCTCGCACTACCCTCTGTATCCTTAATCCCCATTTCACCCTACTCTTCCCAAAGATACTGACCAAGCAAGCACTTTTGTACAATAAAGTTTAATCACAATTATAAAAATGTGGCATTGGGTTTGCACTATTAACATATGTACAATCCAGCCCAACAGGAAGGGCCCACCCCCCACCCCCCTGGCCTGGCTGAGCCAGGAGCCTCAGACACCAGAGTGGGAGGGTGACCCACAGGGTCTGGCAGGAACTGAAGATGAGGCAGGGTTCCAGGCACGGAGTCCCCAGGACTGGGGGCGCAGGGCCCCCCCCAGGGGGAGAACATGGCCACTGCCCCTAGAGACCCCTAAACTGGGGAGGGGTACACGCAGGGCACAAAGGGGAAGTCCCCATTAACACAAAGCACGGGGGGCTGTAGAGCCTCCCAAGAACAGGATCTGTACAGGCCGGCACCCCAGGTTTCCACAGGAAACAGCTGCTGGCAGCTACAAAACATTTACAGCTTCTTCTCCGCAAAGAAAAAAAATTTGGGGATGGGTGGGCAGGGGCAACAAGGGTGGCAAAAGCTGCCTCGAGGGGCTGAGGCTCCCTTGCTGGGCTTGGGGGCCGCCTAGCCCCAAACTTGGAGATGGGAACATGCGGGCCCTGCTGAACCCACTAAGGCTAGGGAAGGCTCCGGGCACCACGGGAGAATAAATAGGGGTGTGGGCACCAGTCCTGCCCTATCTCAGTTGAGGGAGCCACGGCAGCTCTCAGTGCCGCACAAACATGGGATCTTGTTGTCCTCCAGCGGGAACTTGTAGTCATAGGTGATCTCCTCATCCACGCCGATGGGCTGCTTGGAGTAAATCACAATCTTCTTCTGTGACTCGATGGTGATCACCTTGGCATAACAGTTGGGCTGTTGCGGGGCGGGGGGGAGGGCGCAGTGTGAGCTGTGGCCCAGCCCTCTCCGGCCCCCACACCACCCTCTGGCCTGACTCCCAGCGTACCGTGCAGCAGTGATTGATGAACCTCGCCAAGTTGCCGCACTTGGTAGCGTCAATGATGGTGTCATGGTCAACTCGAAACAGGTAACTGCTGCCAATGCCCTCCTGCACGTAGCGTTTCTCCCGCATGTCAGCTACCATCTGGCAGGATGGGATGCAGTGCTCAGGGACCTGCCCCTCAGCTTCCTGCTGGACCTAGCCTGACCCACCAGCCCCTGTGATGGGGGTCTGGACAGTCTACCAGCTACCACCCCAGGGCCTACTCTGACCTGTACTGGTCCTGCAGTTCTCCTCTGGCTCCCACTAACCCAAGGCATTGGCTCTCCCCTGCCCTTGCTTCCAGCAGTCCTCTCTCTCTCTCTCTCTCTCATGGCCACCCACCCCGAACCTTTGGTTGCCATTAAGTCACCCAGGTCAGGCCTCCAGGAACATCTGCATTAGTGCATCAAGCAGAAGCACCGGGGCTCCTGCTGGAGCATATGCCTGGCCCACAGTGGAGCTCCCAGACTGCTGTGGGGCTGCGGCTGTTCCTAAAATAACAGTGGCCATTTTATGGACTGAACCCTACTCATCTCTTTTGCTAAGACCCTCTCTGCAAGACATGCGCCCATGGGCTGCCTCTGCCCGATGCAAAAGACCAGTTGTCCGTGCTAGGGCTCATGACCTTTTGTGAGAAGGAGCAACTTTTACTGCCCAGAAAACCAGAGCCTATGAGCCCTCTGCACTCTCTCCTGAGGTGATCTCACTCCCTCCAGAACTTTACCCGCAAGCTGAATGTTGGGGACTCCACCCAAACCTCCTTCTCCAGCCAAAATCCACCTCAGTGGAGCTGCTGGGCGTTGTCCCCTAGATGTCCGCCGGGCATTTCAACCTCACATGTCCACCTGGACCACACATCTGCTCCTCCTCCTCGCTCCCCAACTTACTGGCAGCCCTACCATACTCCTAGCTGCTAAAGCCAGCCCCCTGAGAAACGGCCCCCTTGCCCTCACTCTCTCCACAGCCATCTCACTGCCTGGTCCTGCCAAGGTCCTTGGACCTGCACACTCTTCTCTATTACCTCTGCTGCCACTGCCTAATCCAGGCCACTGTCACCTTTGGCCTGGGTCTCTGCAAACTCCCCCCACCCCTGACTGGTTTCAACCTCTGGTTGTCTCTCCCCACCACAGCCAGAGGGAGCTGACTAACCACCAATGTCTTTCGCTTTACCATTTCTCAGGGGCATTCCTCTTCTCTCCCCCGCAGGTCCAAATTTCTTAACATGGCCTCCAGGGTCTGCAGAATCTGGGCTCCACCTCTCTAGCCTCACATCGCTGCCACTGGCCCCAGCACATTTTTCCTACTAGCCATTCTGATCTCTTTGCACTCATAGACTATCTAATACCTCCAGGCTTGTGCATATCACACCCTCATAATCTAGTGCACACCTCCCCTCACCTGAGCCGAGTTCCTAATCATCTTTCAGCTCTCAGTTTAACTGTCACTGTCTGTAAGTGTTCTTGGGTTCCCTTGGTATGTGCTCCCACTAGCCCTCCTCTCCAAAGGTTCCCTTAACATCAATCAAACACCGTCCTTTGTCCTTACTTACTCAATACCTCCCTTCCCCACTAGACTGTCAGCTCTTCAAAGGGAGAGACATGCTGTCTTGTTCCTGCTGTGTCATTAACATGTCTACTAGTAACTATCACTAACTGTTCAATGAAGGAAGGAAAGAAAAAAGAACAAAGCAAACTGCACTGGCGAGCTAAGTCTTGGAGCTAGGAGGCTATGTGAGGCTTTATCCAGAAAGTCAAATGGTACTCATGGGAGCACCCAATGCGATCTGTTGACAGACAGCTGGGGCTGGGTGGGGGCTGGTGTCTCACCTGGCGGATGTTCTGACCCACATATTCGATGACCATCTCGTCGGCTGCAATGGGCTCCATGGCAAACAGACCCCACTCATGGATCCGGCTCCGGCCAAATCGGAGCTTCTTCTTCCGGAACTGAGGGGCAGAGGGCAGACTGCTGTTGCATGCCTCCCACAGCCCAGCTCCTTGCCTTTCCTGCAGACCTCCTAGGTAGAAGGGTGGCCTGGTCCCTCATCTCCCACACCTACCCCCAAGGCACCACCTGCTCCTGCCATGGCCGGCTCCCTTTGGTTCGGCCTTTTCACTGAGTCTCCTCCCCTTCCCAAGCCCTCTCTCTTCACCTTGAGCTGGTTTAGCTTCAGCAGATCGCTATCCATGATGGCCGAGGTACCAATGGCGCTCAGCAACCGCCGCTGTTCAGACCGGCGCTCCGAAAGCACACGGTTAGTCCCCTGTGACAATCAAGACAGGGAGGTGAGTGACAGCAGAAACAATGGGAAGAGGATGCAGGTGCGCCAGGGATCAGTGCAGGGCCTCACCTGGGTGTCCACTCCCTCCAGCTGCCGGGCCGAGACGGGGCACACATCCAGGTACTTGTCCTTTTCTTTCTTGCTGATGGGGTAATAACCTTCACTGCGTGCCGAGCCTGTCTGGTGCTCACGGGGCCCATCCTGGGGCCGCCGCTTGCGTTTTGGAGTGTTCAGATTGGTGAGTGCAGAGTGTTAAGGAAGAAGATGTGTTCATTACTGTCCAGATCCCTGGAGCCCCTCTCCCCTCTCTCCACCTTAGCCTCAGCCCAGGGAAAGCGTGGTTCTGAGCAGAGTCAGTGTGAGAGAGAGAGAAATAAGTCTCAGGCTCTGCTACCTTTTTTGCCAGAAAATGTTCAGGAGGCAGAAAAGAGGCAAGAGGAAGAGAAAAAAGGGTGGCTTGGTTGCCAGGGTAAAAACACCCAGGCTGAAGGCAGCGAAGAGAACTGAACAGACAGGTAAAGAGATAAATGCAGATACTGGGAGTGATCTGAAGAGGACACTACCTGGCTGTGTGACCCGAGGGAAGCCCCCTCCCCGCCACCTAGGCCTCCGTCTTCCTGTGCTGGGGAGGCCAGCCTCTACAGCTCAGGATATTTGTGTGATGGACCCAGTGGGTGTCGTTAAGCCAGTCAGCTCCACTTGTCTGCTGCAGCAGCCGCTCGTATGTGAGCCGCAGGTAGCCCATGTCCTCTAAATCCAGGCCTGAGTTCCAAATGTCATATAGGATGGTCATCTGCTCAAACTCACTGCGGGGCTCGAAGGTGGGGGGTGGTGGGGGTGGTGGTGGTGGCGGGCTGCGGGTGTGGGAGCGGAGGCTACGCCGCCGGAGGGCCCCTTCCCCATCACTGCTGCTGCTGCTGCTGCTCTCAGATGACTCGGACTCCTCCTCCTCCTCCTCCTCCTCCCCCTCCTCTTGCTGCTGCTGCTTTGGCTCCTCTGCCTCAGCCACCACCACCTCGGGGGCCTCGAGGACCTCATCTGCTGGGGAGCTGAAGAGGGCTGCAGGGGCAGGAACTGGCTCCAGGGGCCGAGGGGCCAGCGTGGAGGGTGTGGGCTTGATGGCCAGGGCATAGTTGTGCTCCAGGAGGATGTGGCTGAGCGGGGGGCCCGAGCGGTCCGCCTCATCTGATGTCTCTGTGGCCTCTGAGTCGTCACCAGTAGGTGGGACCACTAGCCCACGCCGGGCTGGGGTCAGGGCCAGGTCGGCCAGCACCGCCAGGTCCACTTCTGTTCCTGGTTCAGCCTCTTCTTCCTCAGTGAAGCGGCCTCGGCTTCCAGCCCGGCTCCGACCTCCTCTGGACACTTCCTCAGGCCAACTCTTAACCAGAGACGCGTGGTCCAGGGGCAGGTTGCGAATGGTCCGCTCCACACCCCGGGAGACTTTGCGAGAGATAGGGCCAGGAGACTTGACCTGTGGTGGGGCAACTGGGGGACGCTCTGGGGCTGGTGCCTCCTCCACGGCAGAGAAGGAGACTGTTTTCCGGCGTTTCTTGGGTGGGGGAAGGAGGGGAATAGGAGAGGAGGGGCGCTCCTCGGGGTGTGGGGTGGGAACTGGGGGCCCAGCTGGTGGCTCTGGGGGAGGCTGGGGAACACTGGGAGGTGGTTCCTCGGTGGAACCTGGGGA